TTAGGGTAATGTTTAGGAAAAGGTTAGTGTTAGGGTAATGTTTAGGAAAAGGTTAGTGTTAGGGTAATGTTTAGGAAAAGGTTAGTGTTAGGGTAATGTTTAGGAAAAGGTTAGTGTTAGGATAATGTTTAGGAAAAGGTTAGTGTTAGGGTAATGTTTAGGATAAGGGTTAGTGTTAGGGTAATGTTTAGGATAAGGGTTAGTGTTAGGGTAATGTTTAGGAAAAGGTTAGTGTTAGGGTAATGTTTAGGAAAAGGTTAGTGTTAGGGTAATGTTTAGGAAAAGGTTAGTGTTAGGGTAATGTTTAGGAAAAGGTTAGTGTTAGGATAATGTTTAGGAAAAGGTTAGTGTTAGGGTAATGTTTAGGATAAGGGTTAGTGTTAGGGTAATGTTTAGGAAAAGGTTAGTGTTAGGGTAATGTTTAGGAAAAGGTTAGTGTTAGGGTAATGTTTAGGAAAAGGGTTAGTGTTAGGGTAATGTTTAGGAAAAGATTAGTGTTAGGGTAATGTTTAGGAAAAGGTTAGTGTTAGGGTAATGTTTAGGAAAAGGTTAGTGTTAGGGTAATGTTTAGGAAAAGGTTAGTGTTAGGGTAATGTTTAGGATAAAGGTTAGTGTTAGGGTAATGTTTAGGATAAGGGTTAGTGTTAGGGTAATGTTTAGGATAAGGTTAGTGTTAGGGTAATGTTTAGGAAAAGGTTAGTGTTAGGGTAATGTTTAGGATAAGGGTTAGTGTTAGGGTAATGTTTAGGAAAGATTAGTGTTAGGGTAATGTTTAGGATAAGGGTTAGTGTTAGGGTAATGTTTAGGAAAAGGTTAGTGTTAGGGTAATGTTTAGGAAAAAGGTTAGTGTTAGGGTAATGTTTAGGAAAAGGTTAGTGTTAGGGTAATGTTTAGGAAAAGGTTAGTGTTAGGGTAATGTTTAGGAAAAGGTTAGTGTTAGGGTAATGTTTAGGAAAAGGTTAGTGTTAGGGTAATGTTTAGGAAAAGGTTAGTGTTAGGGTAATGTTTAGGATAAGGGTTAGTGTTAGGGTAATGTTTAGGATAAGGGTTAGTGTTAGGGTAATGTTTAGGAAAAGGTTAGTGTTAGGGTAATGTTTAGGATAAGGGTTAGTGTTAGGGTAATGTTTAGGATAAGGGTTAGTGTTAGGATAATGTTTAGGAGAAGGTTAGTGTTAGGGTAATGTTTAGGAGAAGGTTAGTGTTAGGGTAATGTTTAGGAGAAGGTTAGTGTTAGGGTAATGTTTAGGAGAAGGGTTAGTGTTAGGGTAATGTTTAGGAGAAGGGTTAGTGTTAGGGTAATGTTTAGGAGAAGGTTAGTGTTAGGATAATGTTTAGGAGAAGGTTAGTGTTAGGATAATGTTTAGGATAAGGTTAGTGTTATGGTAATGTTTAGGATAAGGTTAGTGTTATGGTAATGTTTAGGATAAGGTTAGTGTTAGGGTAATGTTTGGGATAAGGTTAGTGTTAGGGTAATGTTTAGGAAAAGGTTAGTGTTAGGGTAATGTTTAGGATAAGGGTTAGTGTTAGGGTAATGTTTAGGAAAAGGTTAGTGTTAGGGTAATGTTTAGGATAAGGGTTAGTGTTAGGGTAATGTTTAGGATAAGGGTTAATGTTATGGTAATGTTTAGGATAAGGGTTAGTGTTAGGGTAATGTTTAGGATAAGGGTTAGTGTTAGGGTAATGTTTAGGATAAGGGTTAGTGTTAGGGTAATGTTTAGGATAAGGGTTAGTGTTAGGGTAATGTTTAGGATAAGGGTTAGTGTTAGGGTAATGTTTAGGATAAGGTTAGTGTTAGGGTAATGTTTAGGATAAGGTTTAGTGTTAGGGTAATGTTTAGGATAAGGGTTAGTGTTAGGGTAATGTTTAGGATAAGGGTTAGTGTTAGGGTAATGTTTAGGATAAGGGTTAGTGTTAGGGTAATGTTTAGGATAAGGTTAGTGTTAGGGTAATGTTTAGGATAAGGGTTAGTGTTAGGGTAATGTTTAGGAAAGATTAGTGTTAGGGTAATGTTTAGGATAAGGGTTAGTGTTAGGGTAATGTTTAGGATAAGGTTAGTGTTAGGGTAATGTTTAGGATAAGGTTAGTGTTAGGGTAATGTTTAGGATAAGGGTTAGTGTTAGGGTAATGTTTAGGATAAGGGTTAGTGTTAGGGTAATGTTTAGGAAAAGGTTAGTGTTAGGGTAATGTTTAGGATAAGGGTTAGTGTTAGGGTAATGTTTAGGATAAGGGTTAGTGTTAGGGTAATGTTTAGGAAAAGGTTAGTGTTAGGGTAATGTTTAGGATAAGGGTTAGTGTTAGGGTTAGGTTTGGGCACAGATGATATTTTAGTTGTTAATAATTCAGATGAAGTTTTACTGTCAATGACGGTCGCTATTCTTGTTAAGTTGGTCAGATGAGGTTTTACTGTCAATGGCGGTCGCTATTCTTGTTAAGTTGGTCAGATGAAGTTTTACTGTCAATGACGGTCGCTATTCTTGTTAAGTTGGTCAGATGAGGTTTTATATATTTATTCAAGATAAAAAGGCATGAATTTGACAGATACAAAATATTACAAAGACACAGATATAGCACTAGACATAGTTTATAGACACTAAAATGATATACGAGTTTACTAAATATTTTAATTTAAGAAATAAGAATAAAATTATGAAAATTTTCATGATATTTTGATAACATGATTAGACTAGATTAAAAATGAGTGAAATTTAACTTGACTAGATTTTCACTGTAGCCTAATATCTTAGGATGACTCACAAAAGTTAGTAAAACTTATTTCCAGTGGGGTCCTTTTATAACGTGCCTTCCAGTTTACACCAAGGGTTGACACATAGAAAATACAAGCACAAATCATTTAGAATTTATCACAGATAAATGGTCAAAGCCCCAGTATAATTAATAAAAAACAAATTCACTATTAAAGATGGATTTAAATTTATCCATCAAAAATTTTTTCACCTGTACTTTAAAATTATATTTTTTAGAGCAACTTTTAATCATGTCTGGTAACGAATTCCAGTCTTTTATTCCATTATAAAAGAAAGTGGTGGATTCACACCCTTTAATTCCTGGTATATAAAAGTTTTTACTACTAGATCTTGTATTGAAATATGTTTCATTTTTAACAAAATTAGTATGTAAATAATTTGGGCATAAATTGTTAAAAATGTTAAAAACATGATTGAGTCTTAGTTGTTTGACTCTATTACTAATATTTAAAAAGCCCAATTTCTTAAATTCAATATATGTCACACTCTTTCTGGGATGTAATTGCAGAATAAATCTCACAATCTTATTTTGTGCCACTTGAAGTTTATTCTTCATTTGTTTTGATATACCTTCATACCAGCATGCACATGCATAGTCAAAATGACATTGAATCAGGGAAGAGCACAATGTTTTCCTAGATTGAAAATTTAGACACTCTTTGTTTCTATATAAAAATTTAAGCCTTTGATTGACTTTTTTCACTATAGAGTTGACAATAAAATCACCAGTTAGAAACTGATCAATTATTATTCCCAAATATTTTACAAAAGTTTTGGATTTAATTATTAATACCATTACAGGAGATAGCAAAATCACCCGGTATTAAAGACCGAAGTTTTCGACCAGGACCAAAAATTATACTCTCCATCTTTCCCAAATGTAAGGACAATTTATTGTCAATTAACCAATCGTGGCATGATTCCAGCATTCTGGATAATTTATGCGAGATGACCCCAGGGTCTATATGGGAAAATAAAATTGCAGTATCATCTGCATATATCAAAACTTTACAATCTGAGTCGATGCTAGTTTGAACATCATTGACATAGATCAAAAACAAAAGTGGACCCAGTAAGCTACCTTGAGAGACACCACATGTAATATTACACACTTCTGAAATCACCCCATTTACACTTACAACCTGTTTTCTGTTTGTTAAATATGACTCAAACCAAGGTATAGATCTAACCCAACTTACTTCTAATTTGTCACATAATATCTTGTGATCTACTGTGTCAAATGCCTTCTGTAGGTCTAATAGGACCATGCCTGTAAAAAGACCTTTGGCTGTTTGAGCTTTAATATGATCTATCAAGTGAATGAGACAAGAATCAGTTGAATATGAACTTCTAAATCCTGATTGAAACTCATTTGAAATCAAAATTTTTTCAAGTTGCTTATAGGCAGCTTTTTCTAGAATTTTAGAAACAATACTTAAAATGCCAACAGGCCTGTAATTTTCAGGCTTAAGTCTGTCATTTTTCTTAAATAGGGGCTTTACTGTCAATGGCGGTCGCTATTCTTGTTAAGTTGGTCAGATGAGGTTTTACTGTCAATGGCGGTCGCTATTCTTGTTAAGTTGTTCAGATGAGGTTTTACTGTCAATGGCGGTCGCTATCCTTGTTTAGTGGATCAGATCATTTAGTTTTACTGTCAATAGCGGTCGCTATCCTTGTTTTATTCTATATAAAATATCAAAAGCACCCACTAAACAAGCCCCTGTGGTTTGGGATAAGGGTTTTTATGAGTATAGCTCTATGTTGCTTTGGGCACCTACCGTTAAATAGGGCCATTATTTTTAGAAGGAAATTCATGGTATGTTAATCATAGCGGAAGATAAAGGAAATAATGTAAATTATTTAAACTACACTGAGCTGAATAAACTGCAATACAGAATATGTTTTTGGCGAATTGCCTCAGGATTGCTGCGTAAATGTATACACACCTGTCTATACATGTATCTATGTAAGAAAAAAAGATTGGTAGAGACACGCTAACCCTCCATAAATAAAACCTTCAGATCTTTTTCATATCTTCATTTTACGTAAAGTCAGTGGTTCATCACTATTTTCTTGTCAGATATACTGTGTTTTGACATTAATTTTGTCAATTACACAAATATATTTGTTTTAACAAATACTTTTTATCAGAATTTCAGTGAAGCACTGTTATGACTTTGACAATAACAAAGTACATTTCAATTGCACTCATGTCAGTATATTTCTTTTTTGCAGCGGAATATTCTGAATATGTTAAAAATAAAACCTTTTCAACAGGAAATAAGGTGGTTAACCAAAGTCATACGATCGACCAGTTACAATTACAGAATACAACACCAATAATCTCAAAGGAATTCGATTCCTCTTTACAAAGACCCGAGACGTTGCCGAGAAGAAACATTTCATGGAAAAGGCATCGACGTCGGCGGTACGATTATGAAGATTCACATGACTGGAATTACGATTTGGAAGATTTAGATTACGATGAAAATGACGTGAGTAGTAATAGTGAGGCTGCTTACCTTCGTGACATATTTAGTATGCCTCCGAAATATACAAGTATTGTCAAACTTGTCAAATAACGGCAAGGTACCAGTTTAGTATACTGATGCATGATTATTGTCTTACAAAATGGAAAATTTAAATTGTGTTATAGCTCTATTGAGGATAGGTCATTTGTAGAAATATGAAATTGATGTAGAACTTCGTCTGGGTTTGAGTATTTTGTAGATTTGTAGTACCAACAGTGTCCTCGAAAAAAAAACCCAAAAGAAATCAAAATCATACCGGAAATCTGGCGTAAACCAGGCGTAACTGGTAGTTTTGTGCCAATGAGCAGGACAGGTATAAATACATATCAGTGACAGGCGTAGATAAAAGTGTTAGACTTGGCGTAAATTGAAATACGCCAGTCGTAAAATTAGATACATTTATTTATCACTTATGTCAAATACAAAAGGGGAAATACATCTCATATAGATTTGAATATCGCTTCGGTTAAAATAATCCTGAGGATTAAACGAGCAATTTTGAAAAAAAAATTTGTCGTTGTTCGGTTTAGCAGGGTAAAATTCAAAAGCGCATAAACTGTTCTAAATATCTAAGCGACATGTTGCGAAACAAAAATTACACGCAAGAAACAAATTTAGCGGAAGAAAAAAAATATATAATCAGAACAAAATTAAAAGGGTTTCCACAGGAAAGTGGAAAGTCGTAAAAATAAAAAAAACCACACACACAAGAATAACAAAGGCTGGGGGGTTCCTGACTTGGGCCCGGCGCAAAAATGCGTCGGAGTAAAACATGTATTGTGAGATCTCAATTCTCCCCCAATTCCTCTAGTCAATGTGGAATAAACGAACAAACAGGAATAAGCACAGTAAAACTCAATTTTTATAAGCACTGCTTCAATTAAATCATTTACTTGTAAATTTCCTTCCAGAAAGAAGCAATGATATCTGTCATAACGAAGAACTGGAAGACGCTGCTATTCAAAGCATTTGTTTGTCTGTGTTTTTTCTGCTTTATAGTTTGCTGTTGTTACATTTGTTGTAAGAACATGTGTCGGACCATCTGTGCCTTCCTTGGTCTATGCTTTTCTAACTGTTTCAATATATGCAGACTATGTGGATGTATCAAGGACGATCCAGGTACGTAATTCTTAATTTATGTTGATATATCAAGGACGATCCAGGTACGTATTACTTACGTTATGTGGATGTATCAAGGACGATCCAGGTACGTATTTCTTAATTTTATGTGGACATATCAGGGACGATCCAGGTACGTATTTCTTAAGTTATGTAGATGTATCAAGGACGATCCAGGTACGTATTTCTTAAGTTATGTAGATGTAACAAGGAAGATCCAGGTACGTATTTCTTAAGTTATGTGAACATATCAGGGACGATCCAGGTACGTATTTCTTAACTTATGTGGACATAGTAGGGACGATCCGGGTACGTATTTCTTAACTTATGTGGATGTATCAGGGACGATCAAGGTACGTATTTCTTAAGTTATGTGGACGTATCAGGAACGGTCCAGGTACGCATTTCTTATGTTATGTGGACGTATCAGGGATGATCCAGGTACGTATTTCTTAAGTTGTGCGGACGTATCAGGGACGATCCAGTTACGTTTTTCTTAAGTTATGTGGACGTATCAGGAACGATCCTGCGGCTCTTTTCACAAACAATCTTAAGAGTAAAAATACTCGTAAGTCATACACATTTCAGTATAACTTACGATCAATTTTAATCGTAAGATTTTTTGTGAAAAGAGTCGCAGTTACGTATTTCTTAAGTTATGTGGACATATCAGGGACGATCCAGATACGTATTTCTTAAGTTATGTGGACTTATCAAGGACGATCAATGTACGTCCTATTCATTTTAATATCTGCAGACTATGAATATATATGGAGATGATCTAGGTACATTCTAAACGATATCTGTAGACGTTCTAAACAATATCTGTCGATGTTCTAAACAATATCTGTAGACGTTCTAAACAATATATGTAGACGTTCTAATCAATATATATAGACTAGGTGGATCCAGGTACGTCTTAACTGTTTCAGTATCTGCAGACAATGCAGTGTCAATTAAGTTGTAGTGATAAATATTGCTTTTAAATGATACAAATCCGTGAATGTACATTCATATTAAACAAAAAACATGTTTGTTTTAGCTTACAACCAGATGAAATTTATATGCAAAGCTATGGGAATGGAACTGGACTATAAGACATACCTTAACATGAAGAAAAGTCTTGAAGAGACAATTATAGAACAGGGCTCTGATCCTAACAACTTAGAAAAATTGGCGGGCTAGATACTACAAGAATAGTAATTCAGCAAAGCTAAAGGGATACTAGAGCAAATGTATAGATTGACACAGAGAGCTGCATTCGAGGCACATGAAATACATGTACTTTAGCAAACAAATAAAAAAAAAAACATTAGAATAAGACAAAACCAGTTAGGAATGACAACGAGAAACTGCGAAAACATGAACTTTTGAAAATAAAATGATTATAGGAGTAAGCAAATTTGTCTAGAAGTTATTGTGTAAACTGGACCGATTAACTCACGAAGTGAATGAAAGTCCGTTGGATTCTTTTTCGTTTATCGCGCATGAATATATCACAGTGAAATCGACATAGTGGTTACATAGGTTATGAATATAGTTTTGGCAACATGGTCTATCGAAGTGAAAACATTTCAACAGAGCGGGACCCATCACATTCAAGTATTTTAAAACATGCAAATCATACAAAATGTTTAAAAAAATCTTTCAATAACAAATATTGAACAAACAACCTTGAAATGTCACCGAAGACGAGGCTAGGAATAGTGAATAAAAACAAACATGATGTAACAAACTGGGCACTGTACTACTCAATGCGAAATATCAAATTATCATCATAAAAAAAGATACAGAAAGAATAATCAGTTGTAACACAGAGACATTGAAGACCTGAAAAAATTATATAATAAACCACTTGCATGAAAATTAACACCGACAAACACTGATAATATCACACAAGGATCAGTTTTAAACAAAAAAGAAAGCATTAAAAGTTGGTTGATGGGCAAATAAAACAAAATGTAATTGAACATGTTTACGATTTTCCCCAATTTATTTCTAAATAATTATACTTATTTTAGATTCTTTTCGCTGGGGTGCCGTCACGTTGACTTTTATCCCACACCTATTTCATTCATAGAACCAGATTATAATTTAATTTTTGATGTAACACGTCTTCTGATTGGCTGAAAGTTTTTTGTCTATCAGCTCATACACATAATGTTGTCATGTGACCGTGACGTCATCAACGTTTTTTTCATGATTTACTCCATAAAAATGGAATTTAGAATTAAATTATAAGGAAAGACTGTAATATTTTTTCTGTCTATTCGAAATAACCTCAAAAATGTGGTGCACACTTTTAAATATAATTAACCCGCTACGCGGAATATTCAGTGTGCACCATATTTTTGAGGTTATTTCTTCATAGACAGAAAAAATATTAGTCATTCCTTAAATGAATTTCACGAATCTTTTGGCGTCACAAACGTTCATATTCGGTACCATAGATGTAAACACGTATCAAATTGTTTATGAACGGCGTGTACAGTAGTCTGCAAATTTCACCCATCCAGATTCATTCGTATGACAATTAAAATCTATTCTTTCAAAAACGATTACTGATATTATTTAAATTCTCTCCCTTTGTCCATTCTAGTGGGAAAATTCAAACATTCGAGATATCAATCTATTTGTAAAAAAATTAAATTAAAAATAAACGATTGGTATAAATGGTATAATGAAGTATTGTATTCCTATTACATACCTATCTTTTAACCAGACGTCTTTAATTAATAGGCTGTTATTGTAAGTCCAGTTGCTTTTATGCGTTTCCTATAGATAAGTTAATGAAAATTTATTTCTTAAGATCAACACATTTGCTGGGTCCTCACATTACAGAACTTGGAAGTTTTCTTTTTTACAAAATTTTAATGTATCGATAACAGCATCTCACTGCATTATTTTATTAAAAAGAGGCTACTTGAAATATATATTTTTATGGCTGGGTTGCTGTCTCCCTGACGTATACTACACATATACATATATGGGTACAATGATATTATCTATCTAGGGTCCTTAATCCCGTCTGTCATTCGGTATATCGAGAAAACTGATCGTGAAAGAATAACTAACGGGGATCAAGCATTTAAGAACCGTTTAAAACAGTAATATGAAAGGATATTTTTAAGAAAAAGTAGTTGATGCATTCAAAATATGAAAATAATATCATGTTTGTTTACATTTTTATTTCTTTGAAATTTCGACGAGCAATTTGTCTTTTGTAGTTTTGTAAAAACGGTATTTTGGTGTGGTTCGTGTTGCTTAGTCTTGAGTTTTCTATGTTGTGTTTTGCGTACTGTTGATCTTGTTTGGTTTTTTTTTGCCATGGCATTGTCAGTTTGTTTTCGACTTATGAGTTTGAATATAATTCCTTTGGTATCTTTTGCCTCTCTTTTACTTGTTCCCATCCTGCTATATATGAGATAGTTGCCACACTTAACGTAAACATCAATCTTTCATCATCATCGTCATCATCGTCGTCGTCGTCGTCGTCGTCGTCGTCGTCGTCATCGTCATCATCATCATAATCATCATCATCGTCATCATCCTTATCATCATCATCGTCGTCATAATCGTCGTCATCAACATTGCCGTCGTCATCTTCGTCGTCATCATCATCATCATCATCATCATCAACGTTGTCATCGTCATAGGTATTTATCTGATATGTAACAATACAATTCATTCATAAAGTAGCAGAATGAAGAGAGGAATTGACTTCATATATTTAAAGACCTTTCAATCAAGAAAGATAAAGAGTAACAAAGAAGACTTTATGAACGTAAGATCTACCGTGAAAAAAAGGAAAACTGCTATCAACTACTGTAAATTCAGAAATTTTGCGTGCATTTATCATTGCGATTGTTGAAAAATGGACAGACATGCGAGATGAATTATTGCGATTTCAGGAAATATTGCATATAAATAGTACTAGTATCATTACTTTTATTTTCATACTGGTTATCGATAGCCTGGGTAAAAATCCTGATGTGTCATTTTGGTTATGATGGTAACTTGCACAAATAGATGACTGTTTTCGGGCAATATCACGAGTTTCACATTCAAAACAGTGTTAATAAAGTTTAACTCAATTTATTTAATCTCATTGGTATATATTTTAATTCATGCATAAACAAATAGCAAAGTTTAATATTTCAATTAACTGTTTCATGCTTCGGATGAATAGTGCATTTAAGCAATATTACATGTGGGTCTGAATGGGATTGACAGAATAGAGAATAATGGGTAAAAAAGTGCCGAAAAAAAAGAATAGAGAAAAATAAGCATAAAAAAGAATAGAGAATGAGGGGGTGCTGAAATATAAAGAAAAGAGAATAATTGTCAAAATAGTTAAATGGAGAAAGCATGGTCTACAAAATTAAGAATAAAGAACTGAAGGACCTCATTCAGACCCTCTCATATGGTTCTTGGTCCACATCTCTTTTCATCTATTTCTATTACGAAACTCATGTTGTATATATGTTTCAAATATTAAGGGTTTACAGCGGTTATCAAAATGAATTATAGATGAGTATTCTTTAAAATGTTTCTAGAAATGTCAAATATTCATCACAAAATATCACAAAATTGTTTCTAGAAATATCAAATATTCATCACTAAATATCACAAATTGTTTCTAGAAATGTCAAATATTCATCACAAAATATCACAAAATTGTTTCTAGAAATGTCAAATATTAATCACAAAATATCACAAAATTGTTTCTAGACATGTAAAATATTCATCACAAAATGTCACAAAATTTATGCCATGACTTTGATTCTTTCATATTTCCTTTCAATACTTTACTGTTAGACGTTCCTCTCTGAAATATACAACAAAGCAATGATGAAAGTGTTCTTCTTTTTATTGCATTCAGATGTAATAACATTAACGGTACCAATTTTACTGCATTAGATGCGCATTTCGACAATCAATGTCTCTTCAGTCACGGTGCTTCAGTAATGCACGAGGCCAAAATATTTGTGAGTCAACAAACTTAAACAAACGTTGAAGAGCTTATTAAACAAAAAGGACACAAAATATAGCTTAACTGGTGAAAAGGAACCAGAGCTATCTATGAGGGAGATACAGTTCTGAATTTAAAATGATTTCGAAATTTTATAACAGCAAATTTAAAAGTACAATAGCGGTATTTTCATTTTTTGCTGAAAAAAATATCATGATAAACTATTTCACTTAACGAAGACTAATTTAATATTTATATTTTAAGAATATGAACCTCCATATATAATGTTTAAGCAGCTTTTCCACATCCTATTACCGGCTATCGGTACTGCAGATGCAGTAGATAAGACGTCTCATCTGATGTACACGACAGCAAAAATCGATTATATTGCAATGACAATCGGAACACTAGACTAAAATCTTCTGTAGTACACGATAGCAAAAATAGATTGTATTCCAATGACAATCGGAACAAAAGATTAAAATCTGCTGTAGTACACGATGGCAAAAATCGATTGTATTTCAGTGACAATCGGAATAATAGAATACAATCTTCTGTAGTACACGATAGCAAAAAATCGATTGTATTGCAATGACAATTGGAACAATAGAATACAATCTTCTTTAGTATACGATGGCAAAAATCGATTGTATTGCAATGACAATCGGAATAATAGACTAAAATCTGCTGTAGTATACGATAACAAAAATCGATTGTATTACAATGGCGATAGGAACAGTAGAATAAAATCTACTGTAGTACACGATAGCAAAAATCAATTGTATTACTATGGCGATCGGAACAGTAGACTAAAATCTGCTGTAGTACACGATAACAAACATTTGTTTTTACTGGCAGTCAGGAAAACAGAAGATATTGAACGGTATCAAACATATTTGTTTTAATGACAATCAAGAACCCAAATCATATTGCCAGATAACAAACACATTTATTTTTATTGGCAATCAGGGAAACAGATGATATATCACGGTATCAAACATTTTTGTTTTGATGGCAACCAGAACCACAGATTCTATTGTAGCTGCCGTAGTCATAGTCGGTAATAGGCTGTATCTTGCTACACAAGAAAATAAAACAAATCACCTTTAAAAAATGACGAAAAGGTAAATTCGTTTTTGCTTTGAATACTTGCCAGTTCTATAAGTTTTTCCACCACTGATTTAAATGTCAGATCTATGTTTATATCAGCTTTAGCACTGACTTCTTTGTACATACTTATGTTGTTTGCAGCTGCCGTCTATAAAGTAAATCACACTTGATATATCTCATGTAAATATATATATAGAAATAGTATCAAATCGGTTAGGAAACGGTCTACTGCATTATTTACTCGCAAGAAACCAAGTCCATTAGGGTTAGAGATCAAATATATTATACCACATAAGGACAGGGACTTTAATATAAAAAGAATACAAATATCGATGAACTTCATATTTTTTAATAACAGAAATCAAATGACATTTCTTAAAAAAGTCTCAAGAAATTTTTGACTTCCACGTCATTTCAACTCTGGTGGATAGTTGTCTCATTGGTAATCATACCACATCTTCTAATTTTTATAAATTCCTGATTAAAATTGTTGTTTGTGGTAGGACAATACTGTAGCACTAACCTTAATATACACATATTACCATCTTTAAGATAAAAAAAACCTCATCGAAGATAGAGGGCATGCAAACAATACAGGACTGTAATCATAATCAACATGCAACGAAACACTTCAAAGAGAACTCAAAATTGAGCAATCAAAAAATATGGTAAGCATTTGTTAATTTGTAATATTACTACCGTATCTTCAAAAATATGGATAAGGAGTTTTTATGTTGAATTTCGATGTAGATGGGTGGATATTGTTAATTTAGAATTCCACTAGACTTTATTGGATCCATATGTTTTGATAATTTTGATCTATATTATATCACTGGACTCAGTGCCTCATTTAGGATTTTGGAGGGAGAAGTGACGACAGAGTAGGGAGAAGTGGTCAACTTCTTGGAGAAGTGAAATTTCATTACCGTTTCATTAGTGTATTGTTTTCATGCTTATCTATGACATATACTTTAAGGAAATTGTTTTATATATGCAATAAATAAAAATACCTGCAGTATATTTATATGACACTGTAAATATTATAAACTCTTAATAAAATTGTATTGACAATATAGTTGTTATTCATTTAGTCATATCATTTGTACTGTCAGTTAGAATTTAAGTTGAAATAAAATGTGTTGCTAGTATATCCCATTTTGTATCTGATGACTTGGTTTTTGTTTTTTTTTTTAAAAGAACTGCTTGAGAATGATTGGGAAATTTAATTCATATATCTACATAAGAAAATGCCTGTACCAAGTCTGGAAAATGAAAGTTGTTTTCCATTCATTTGATGTGTTTGAGCTTTTGATTTTGCCATTTGATAAAGGACTTTCCGTTTTGAATTTTCCTTGGAGTTTGGTATTTTTGTTATTTTACTTTTCACCACTGTTCATGTGGTCACAAGTTTGTAAAACATTATTGAATGTCCAGGACATTAAACCAGTTGTAGTTTGAGATTCTCGTGAATTATTGTAGGCCTGCAAATGAAGATATCTGTCAATCCTATATTTTTTTTTATAAAAGACATCTCTCTTATTAACGAAATAGTCGTGGAAACAACACACGCTGCTATAATCACAAGCTCACTATGAGCGTTTCGTTTTCAATCAAAATCTATCAGCCGTTTTTACTTTATACATTCATAATAATTTTTATTCAATGAGTATCAAAAAATTATCCTTTAATTCCCACCCCTGAATATTACAACAGTTACTGTATGGTCGGTTTGTAATTATTAAAATTTGAATAAATCAGCTGAGTGATTACGCAACATCTTCATGACGAAAATCATTGTAAAGTAAAATGATAACTCAAACAGTCCCTCTGTTTCCTGCTTAAATAGTTTTGAATGTTAAATCCAAGATGTTCAAATCGCCGTTGTATTTATTTCATTTAATTGTCGACAGTATTAGTTCTTGGTCGTTTCGGAAATCTCGATTTTCCTTGTCAGTCGCCATTTTTGTTTATCTGTGCGACTTGTAAATCGCAAGTTGCCTCCGTTATACTATTTATAGGTGATTAAGCAAATTTTTTAAGAGGTGACTGATTTGAAAACTAGGCCGCTGACTCATACCTTTACACAAAAACCGTTCGGTATTCAGTTTGTGAGTTAATCTGTCCTAGTTTACACAATACTAACCCCTAAAATTATCCTATTATAAAATTACGCATTTAACTCAGGATAACATGATCATTCTATATCAAAGTCAATATAAACACATGTATTCTATATCAATGTCAATATAAACACATGTATTCTAAGTCAATGTCAATATAAACACATGTATTCTATATCATTGTCAATATAAACACATGTATTCTATATCAATGTCAATATAAACACATGTTCAGAGTGAACGTACCTTTCTAAGTTGATGTTCTGTCACAGAACGTTTAATTTCTTTGGTTTCGTCGCTGTCATTCTGAAAATAGTAGTACAATAACGAATGCTATAAAACCTGTATATTACAAAATTTGAATCAAATGTCAATTATCAGGTATCGGGACCTAAAAATATGGAATGGGAAATCCACACATCATCTTGTCACTGGTTAATCTAATTTAACGAAACGCGCATCTAGCGTACTAAGTTATAAGCATTCAACCAATCAAAATACTTCATTTGGTGTTTCGAGCATAGATTTTGTACTCCGAGTACTGATGTCTTTGAAAAAAAATATTCTTGCAAGTTCAGACATTGTAACGTGTAACTAATATCATGATGCCGACCATGTAACAGTAAAAGTCGCCGTTCCTCGTGTACAGTGTGAAGTTTGTAGTATGGTTTTGAAAAGTCAACGGAATTAAATATAAATCAAAAACGTTTTTTGTTCAATATATGCCAAAATATAACACAGTTATGTAGTCAAAATTAATGCAAACCTTCCGATTTTTATGACTATGGTTAACTGAAAAGCATTCACTTGTGAGAGATGAGATATTTTGATCATTTTGAAAAGCACTGTTCAAATTTTCAAGAAACAGGTTAACTTTATGTTTCAGATGGTACTGATTATATACATGTAATCTTATATAGACTACACGTGTACGGCGTATCAAAATAATATGTTTGGTGTTATCGATGACTTTAAAAAAAAAAACTTTGTTGTGAGTTTCGACACTCTCAAGGTGTATACCAATTTGAGGATGGTGACCACGTCGTTGTCCTTCCTCATAATCTTGATAGAGTAGCTTTTAAGTTAAGAGTATATCCGACACAATTAGGAACATACAGATGTATATCATCTTAAATATATTTAAACACAAAAGGCAAGTGCAAATCCTATTTATCTTTATTAATTCAATGATATGTCAAAATTTGAATGCGTTACTTGATATTTAATCAAATGTATAACATACTTCACTGCTCCATCGAATATCAGTTGCTGAAAGGTCTGTTTTATTTCCTACTAACATCAAGAGCGGGTCATCATCCTGTTAAATAAAAAAAATATAATTGTATTTGTTTTTGAGTAATCCACCATGCACTACCTACCGTGGTCGTTATTCAGAGGACCAAAAAGAGAGACGACAGATACCAAAGGGGCATTTAAACTTTTAAGTCGAAAATAAACTGACAACGCCATGACAAAAAAATAATAAAAAAAAAAAAGACAAACAACAGAACACAAAACAAAACATGGAAGACTAAAGAGTGACGACACGGAAGTGATCTCAGGTGCTGCGGAAGGGTAAGCAGATCCTGCTCCACATGTGGCACCCGTCGTGTTGTCTGTGTAAGTACAAACAAGATCAAAATTGTGGAAATAGATAGTGATATAACTAATTCCGTGTAAGAACATGTAATAACGTTCATCTAAGATGTTAATTCATACTTGTTACAAAGTTGACCTTAGATGAATTTTTTAGGTCCCTCTGATCATATATATCTCTTCACGTGTTTAGATCTTTTATTTCCTTGGCTTTCAAGTGTTTAAATGTTTAAAATCAGAAATGTGCCTCGGACACACGAAATCAATAAAGTGTCTTTTTCATTTTGTTAAAAACCAATCTGATTCAAACAAAAATTTGACTGAAACGGATATCATGAAGATGATGGATGTTTTTTATTGACAATATATTTGTTACGTTGAGAGGACGCTTTTTTCGACAGACAGTCTGCCTTCCCATGGGAACTAGCTGTACCACTCTACTTGTCCACTTGTACCTTTATTCTTATGAGGCAGACCTCGTAAACGAGCTTCCCAGAAGAAAACATGATAAAAAGCTGACATTTAACTTGACGTTCCGCTATATTGATGATATCCTGTCACTGAATAGTTCAAAGTTTGGTGACTATGTAACATTGTTTACTAATCTTTCCCAAGAATTGGAAATAAAAGATACCTATGAAACTATTACCGTCAGATCATATGTTTTCGTACGTCATAGGAGTTCGTACTATGCATGCTTTTTCAATGGAAATTGTGACGTCACAATGCATTCTAAATTGCAGAAAAACCCATAATACGGGTGTCTCTTTTATATAGAAATTGACAATAAGGGTAGGTTGATAACTTATCATTACGACAAACAAAAGAATTTAAATTTCTATTTCTTGGTAGCAACATTCCAACAGCGCATGCATACAGAGTACATATCCCTGTAGATACACTATTCCGGGTTTTGCTTTTCCCTTACATGATTTCCTTGATAGAGAGTTTGACATACCTCTTGCAAGGAAGCTATTTCATCAAGGATTCCAAATTGTTAAGTTGAATTGTTCATTTAAAGGTTTTAGTGACGCCGTAATGTTTTGTTTAATTGACCGTGATGAAATACCTACAGTGCATTGCCAAAAGAATTCGTTACCTTTCTTTCTTTTTTGCTATATATTTCATACAAAATCAATTTTTTTCAAAAATTTGTTTTGAAGATATTTATTATTGGATTTTTTCAAACAAGATCATAAAAGACTAAAAATAGTCTAAAGTATATTTTTTATTTCGTCAAAGTTTTGTCGTCAATTGTTTCGTTTTCTTTTGATAAGAATCATGCATGATAATTTTCACAATTCAATTTGGTTGAAAAATATAGATAATTAATGATAAAAACAAAATACTGGAGTTTATATCATTAGAAAATGAGAACGCCCTACTACAAAAATAAAACAAAAAAAAACAAAACAAAAACACACAAGTGACAATTTTGCTTCTTTTGGTATAGAGATGATTAGAATCCTACCATAAATGATCCCACAATATTTGTATGAAAAAAGTAGTTTTATATGACATATATATTGATAATCACAAGGGACTTTATACTTTTGACCATACACTGTATGTCACAGATGTTTAACTTGTCGTTACCCCAAGGGTGACTGGGGAATAGAAGTATGGTCACCATTGGTCTTCCTCCGACCGGCAGTAAAACCCGTGCTAAAGTGGGGCGTCCGTTTGGCTGTGCGGGATGTACAAATTTGCAGCCACGTCCGGTCAGAATGGGGACGTTAAATCCGATGCCTCGTGTAAAGAGAGTGCCACGCTTTTTGCACGTTAAGAACCCTTGCAACAACTCTTTGAGGGGTCCGTAGGTGACCTGTTGCAAGGCTAAATTTCTGTCCCTATCCAATATACCCTCATTTCCCGTGGCAGTCTAAATTTCTCCGACCTTTATCCCTTAATCTATTACAGAACCTACCTATTGTATTTATTGTGAACTTGTTCTCGTCCTGAATATGCATGAAATATTTGCCACTGGACGTTAAGCAACCAACAATCAATCAATCAATTTAACTTGTCGTAACTACAATGTCGTCTTCACGATTGAGAAATTATCGAAAAAAGGGATAACACAAGTACCGAACTCCAAGACAAATTCAAAAAAGGTGAAGTCCAGAAAAACTGACTAAATCAAACGTTATCAATCAACGGAACAAGTGAAAAACAACTATCATATTCCTGACTTGGTACAGGCATTTCCCGAAGAAAATGGTGGGTTAAATTTGGTTTTATAGCTAGCTAAACCTCCCTATCTAAATATGACTTTTCACCGTATTTGTACTTGGAACGGGTAACACGACGGGTGCCATTAGATGCGGATGAACTGCGTACTATTTCGGATCACAAGAGTTTACCCCTATTTGTTGATGGATGATTTTTCTGTAAGGTAATTTGTTATTGTTATGTGTCTTTTCGCTGTTTTTCTTTTTATTCATCATGTATATTGTTATAGACCCTTTAGTATATTCTCTCTGTTTTTGAAATACATGGTATTAGACGTTATATTTCATGTAAAAATTTGATGTTGCTTACTAAAAATGTGTTTTAACAGAGTTTTATGTATGATTGCTCATATTCAGCTATATTCATTTTTATTGGGAAAAAAAATTCCAAAATTTAACGAAATTTAAAAAAGCGATCCCTTGTATTAATACATTTAAAGTTGACACTAATAAAGCCATAGGTGATAGCATTAGTACTGATGCAAAATGTTTTAAATGATGCTACTTTTGCGAGAACGAAAATAAGTTAGGCTACCTCTGTTGAAGAACAAGTCGCTGAATTTTCATTGACATCTTGAAGCTTCTGTAGAGAAAAAAGGATGTTATAACTCAACATAATACAAGAATATGAATATTTATGATAATATAATATCGAACAAAAATATTATACAGGACTATAAAAATGTTCTATCTGTATGCGTAAAACTTTACACTTTTATCTTTCACTTTTCATTTTTTTTTTCTGTCAATATTACGGAACTATAAACAACTGTGTCATACAAGTGGGAGGTTTAGGTAGCTATAAAACCAATTTTCGCCCACTGTACTAAGTCAGGAATATGGCAGTTATTTTTCACTTGTTCCGTTGATTGATAGCGTTTCAATTTTGTGAGTTTTTATGGAGTTCCCCTTTTAGAATCAGCCTCGGAGTTTAGTATTTTTTGTTAAACATTTTTGCTATTATTGGTAGATTCATGTGACGGAAACAACTCGGATTTTATCATAAATAATATTCAATCATTACTGATTATTTTGTTCTCTGTTAGATATGCATTATACAATGTGGATAAATATGGTAGTTAAAGGGTAAAGGGGTAGAATCTGTTTCTTAAATGAATAAAATGCAATGTATTAAATGGATATGGCAGGCAATTACACGGTATAAATCTAATCAATGTGTGGTTTAGCAAAATCATCAAACTGTCTAGACCGTCATATTTGGATCAGCTTTCCGGAATATTTGGTTTTCAATGCTCTTCAACTTAGTGTCCGACTTTGCCTTCCAACTGTTTTGAATTGAGCGCCACTAATTAGTCTTATGTAGACGGAACTCACGTCTGGCGTACCAAATTATAATCCTGGTATCTCTGTTGAGATTTTACAACCACTGTGTCGATGCCACAGTTGGTGGACGTTTCGTGCCAGCGGGTATCACCAGCCAATATGACAACTAGTACACACATAGCACACAAACACACAAGAAAGGTTGTACAGGTTCATACGTAGGACACCATTCCGTAAATCAGCATGATATTTTTCTAAGTTGACGTCAATCGGACACTGAATTCATTTTAATTATGTTACATTTGTCGTCATTAAAACTTTTGGACAAAATTGTATTTGGCACAAAGTTTCAGATTTGTTTTCAACTGTTTTGATTCAAGCGCCATCGTATGTAGACGAAAAGCGCGACAAGCGTACCAAATCATAAGCCTGATATTTTTTATGAGTATTTTCTGTAAGGTTCGATTTCGGACATCACATTGGCAAAAATAGGAAAGAATCAATAAACAGAAAAAAAAGCAAACAAATTAAAGCATCAAAAATAATGGTCAGCATAGATAAAGGATAGAGAAAATGGTATTAAAAATTAAAGAAGCAAGAAATGAAAACCTCCACTTCCCCCAAAAAGACCCTCATCTATGTAAACTACGATGGGATAATGGGATAAGAAAAGGTAACAGTGTCACCTTTCTGTGCTTACTTCTTTGTAAAGGTGAAATTAGAACCTCTCCATATTAATTACGTTCCAAAGGTGGCATTGGACATTAAAAATATTATCAACGTGGAGGAACTGTTAACTTGTTTACTGAAGTCAAAATGTAAATATAATATATACCTTTTTCTTTGTCATTTGTATCCACTCAGGAATCTTTTTGAAAGACTTTTCCTTCGAAATATCATAGACAATAAGGACAGCCTGAAGTATTGAAAAATAAAACATAGATCATGTTGACTTTACGAAATTCCTTCTGTTTCAGGATATGATTGATAATCTTTAGCATAACTTTCTTTTCTGATTTACAAAGCAAATACAATGAATGTTAGCAACAATGTATAACAGTTTCAAATCTGTTTAATTCGACAAATAAATGATATATTAGAAATTAGAAGCTGATTAATGTGAGACATTGCAGAAAAAATGTTTTCTTAATAAGCATTTTTTCGTAAGTAAGATATTGAAACCGTAGTGGCAATAGTAGATTACCGATTTTTTGTTGTTGTTAATGTACTGTTTATAAAATGTTGAATATTTCCAAATACTAAGGTTCTTCTACCACCAGGCACAGATTTCCTTTAGCCGTATTTATCATGTTTTTTAGAATTTTCTGATTTGTATACTCTTTAACGTCTCTAATTTGACGATTCATATTAAGACAAAACGCACGACTGGCGTACCAAATTATAAGCCAGCTAGTTCATTGGATCGATGTCACTGCTTGTGAACCTTTTCTCCACGAGGGTATCATCGAACTTTTGTGTTGACATAAGAGAGAGGCAACATATACCAAAGGGATATTCAAACTGTTAAATCGAAAACAAACTGACAAAGACGTGGCAAAAAATCAAAAACGACGTAAAGATAAACAACAGTACACAAAATACAACATAGAAAACTAAAAACTGAGCAACACAAACCCAACCAAAAAACCTGAGTTGACCTCAGGTGCTCCGGAAGGGTTAACAGATCCTGAGCCACATGCGAAAACCGACACAAATATCATTGCTATGTTTATATTCTGTAATTGTTTTGCTGTTTGTTATATGTTGAATTTTTTGCTGTTTATAATATGTTGAATTTTTTGAAACTCAGTTTTTACTACCCTAAGTCATAAATTGCTTTAGCCGTATTTGGAAAATTTTCGAAATCGCTAGAGATATTTTTTTTCAAATTTCGAAACAAATCCCTTTAAAACGTACAAATCAAAATTCAGAACAAATCTTGAGGGAATCGCCAGAACTCCCAAACGAAACAAAGATAGAGAAAGCTACTTCTGCTATGCATACATCACCCGCCATGAAAATCCACACTTAAAATGCAACAACATGCCAGGAATAGGACACAATAGTAAAACTCACATATAAGACGACTCTTCTGTTGTTATAAGATAGTCACAATTAAATACACAAAGATTAAACAAATATTGTAAATGAGCTGCGTCGGATAGAAATCGACCTTATGCAAGTGTACGTATACATGTACATGTATTAGACTTGATGATCGATTTTGGAACATTCAAATGCGAAATAAAAGAGGAATTTGGTCTGTTTGTGGGAGTTCTTATAACAATTCAATTTTCAAACAGTTGCAGACTTTCCGTAGAGATATTTTCAACCCGATGTATTGATATTCATACATAAGGTCGATTTCTATCCGACACAGCTCAAAATGATATAATATATTTCTATCCATTCAGTCATCATTTACCCCAAAGTCTCTAATGTAAATTAATCTAATTGCACGAACAATAAGTTTAAGCAAGTAAAAAAACTTACATCTGCAGCGTCTATAAACTTATGAATAATACCCCTTTGTATATGGTGCCCACCTGTGTCACTGAAAAGGGAAGATATGATAAATTTTAATGCAAGTTATTGTTGAAACCGCTATAAACAAGGCGCATCTGAGAGCGAACAGTCTAAGTAGTTCTACAGGTAAATATTACTAGTTTGTCCTCTCTGTCTTTGTGAACTCCGACCTAGCTCGTTGTGACGTGCGTGCGATTCCGATCAAATTGATGAGGGTAACCAGTTTCTCCTCGGGTACTTCAATAAAACTGCCATGACATAGTCAAGGACTCTTAAAGTGGAGTTAAACACTAACAAACAACTAAACACTGTTAACAATGAAAGCAAATGAACTTCGACATAAAATTTACCACCTCTAATACAATGATAGAAGAAAATCTTCAAATATAATGCGCCTCGAATTCAGGAACACAAAAGTTGTGTGTAAACAAAAAATCTCTGTAGTGATATTGGACATGTTTCAATTTTTAACAAATGACTGAGCTTAACTATTTGTGCTGATTTGGAGAGTAGAGGACAATAGAATAAATGTGTAAAAACTATGGAGTTATTAAATGTATGCAAAGATCAAAATTTTCAAAGAACTTATTGTCACAGTGTGAAAAAAAGGATTTTTTACCTCGAGGAGCCGCATCACGAAAGGATTTTCGGGGTGTGCTAATTTACGGAAAAATGAATCTCACTTTGTACCCTGAAGATTTAACCACTATATGTAAAAATGTCCTAGCTTCGAAACGAGCCATCATTCACATCCAAGTTTACGATATGAGCAGAGGAATTGAGGAAAAGGCTACCATTACCGCCTACCTGAAATGAATTACGCATCTGTGCCCAGTTGATTGACTGTATACCACCATCTTGGATTATAATATAGCATGCAAAAAGCATGGTAAAGTCAACATTTCGGCAATGTATAAGAAAATTCTATGTGAAAAAATATATATCGATGTTCCACCTTAAGAAGCAATGTTTTATGCAGACGAAAAGGACGACACAAGATGGTTGAAGTTATCCCTTTGCTTCGCTAGCAGGCGACACAATCATAATTAGATAGGAAAAAAACGAGGCTCAAAAATAAAGATATTTTAACAATTCTTCGCCATAAAAAACAGCCAAAGCTCTGAAAAGTCCTGTGTTAAAAAAGAAAAGCGAAAGTTACCAAAGGGAAATTCAAACTCATAAATCGATAACATTATATGTATTTATAGATGAATAACAAAGAAGCGGAAGTTACCAAGGGACATTCAAAGCTCAAGCACCAAGAGAAAATAAAAATGCCATGGCGAAAAAAAAACGAAAATCAATGAAATGACAAACAACAGTACACATAACACAAAATAGAACACCAAAGACTGAGCAACACGAACCCCACCAAAACCCTGGGGTATCTCATAAGCTCAAGATGGATAAGCATATCTTGCTCCACATGTGGCACCCGTTGTGTTGCTCATGTAACTCGGTGATAAATCTAATTCGGTAGGTCACATTCGAGAAAAATAGAAGACGGGATTGAGGTTACGACAATTGGAACATATCCGTTGTCATGTGTCTAGAAAATATTCCACAACGGTCAACCAACTCGTGATAACGCATCACAACTTGGAACTCTTGGCTCAATAGCTGGCTTAATTATATGCATACTAACACATTGCTGACAAGGCATGCGATTTTATTGATAACCTTCACAAATTTTTGGCTTGCCACATTGATGTTAATTTGTTTCATTTTTCCTGATTCCTTATTGGCCTCTATTATCACCAAATTAAACTTTGTCTATGTGCGTGTATCATACTGTTGAAATCATGATAACATTCTGCGTAATTTGAGCTTGAAAAAAAGAAGAAAATTCCAATTGTCAATGAGACAATCAAAACCAACGACGAAAAGTAAACAGTTAGTGCTTCACTTATGTATACCTTGTCAAAAAATAAGATAAAATCATCAAATTGTTCTAATATCGATATGGTTATACTAGTATATCAACTATCAAAAATAACCGTCCGCAGGAAGATATGTCAACGAACCCGATAACATTATTATGTCGCCGAGGAACCCACGTCTTTGCTCTTATATATAAGCACCGTCTGCTTTCCAAAGGAGTAGCAAACATCAATGATCAAATATCAACTAAGTCCAATAGGCGTTCAAAGCCAGGATCTTCCACATTCGAGGCGAACACGCTAACACCAAGTCACTGAGGCGGTTCTCTGAAATTGACTAACGGATTAAATGTGTAAATGGTTCACTGAACCGTTGATTTTTTTTTTGATTTTTTTTAAACATGAACATAATAAATGAAAATATACTTACAAAATTAATAAACTAACTAAGTCGTTTCCAACTTCGAAGTTCGGTATTCTAACTTTATCAACCCCTGTAAGAAAAGGAGACAGCCAATATTCAAGTACATTATGTTTACTTTTTTGTTGTTAGGAATGTGTAAATACCACGTCCGGTCTGAGTTTTTGTTAGATATTTCATGCTTTATATCGATCTGATGAGTGAAGCTATGTTCAACTGATTTTTATAGTTTGTTCTTATATTGTGCTGTAACACCACTCTCCCAGGTTAGGGGAGGGTTGAGCGCTCACAAACATGTTTAACCCCGCCACATTTTTTTATGTGCTTGTCCCAAGTCAGGAGCCTGTAGTTCAGTAGTTGTCGTTGGTTCATGTCAGTCATGTTTGTTTTTAGAAAATAGTTTTGTTATGATTTAGGCGTTAGTTTTCTCGATTGAATTGTTACATATTTTTCATGTCAGGGCCTTTTACATGGTATGGGTTTTTCTCATTGTTGAAGGCCGTTCGGTTGCCTATTCACATCCACTTCATTCGAACTTTGTTGCATAGTTGTCTCATTGGTAATCATACCACATCTCCTTAGTTTTATATTAGTTTTGGTTTTTAGTCATATTCTCCTTCAAGTATTCAAATGTTTTAGAAAACTTGTCTTTTAATGTTCTGATAAAGGTAATACTCAAAATGCTCCAGACACATCATGTTAAAAAATGGGCTGTGTAGGATAGAAATCGATCTTATGCAAGTGTACGTATGCATGTATATGTAAAAGAATTTGATTGATTTTGGGGCATTCAAATACGAAATAAAAGATGAATTGTGGTCTGTTTTGTAGTTTTTCTTGCATCAACACATTTTAAAAACATTTACAGACTATGCATAAAGATTTTTCAACCCGAAATAAGTTAACAGATGTATTGATATTCATTTGCATAAGGTTCATTTCTATTCGACGCAGCTCAAATGTTATTTTTATTTAAATATAATAGATTTAAATATGTTATTATAAGGAAACGTAACCAATTAAGTGAGGAGTGCAAACACTAATAGACTTTTACCCTTAAAAGGTGACGTTAGTTAATGTCCTGAATTAGAATTTTTTTTTTTACTTTCCTTGCATGTTTTGCATTGAATATGACAGCATTGATAATTGAAAAAATAAAGAATAGTATTAAAGCTTGGATAAATCGTATACATTAATGACATTCTGAAGTTATATTTATAACATTGTTTGATTTAATTTGGGTCAGTTGATAAGACTCAACGATACGATAAATACTATAATTATATACTTATCTCAATAGATACTCGAGTACAATTGTACCTAAATATTATTAAAGCATGATGCATCATAGTTCCCTCTTGTAATCAAATGACAATGAGTATTTCAATGTCATTAAAACAATTGTTTTTTTAACTTGTTTTATTTGCTGTGTTTTGCTGTGTTCTATTTTTCCTTTGATCAAAATCTAATTTTAATAACTGAATAATACTAGTATAAATAGTGGGGTTAAATATTGATCTGACGGTATTTTTTGCTGTGTTTTTTTGTTTTGTTTTTGTTTTTTTCAAATAGTGGAGTCAAATGTTTTTATGCCATTGGCCTGCAGATACCTTGATTGTTTCTCAAATGATAGACAGATCTTTGAAATGTTCAAACATATATTTTGTATTCACGCCGCCAAAAATGTACGTTGAGTACTGCACAGCAAAAATCGAATCTTCCTGCCCTGTTCATTCCATATGAAAATGAAAAAAAATGAACTTGTCCGATCCCTTTCAACATCCCTCACCAATTTTAGTACATGGCCGAACTTTCTCTGTGTGAAGCATCCCGAAAATTGTCCTCTCTCATTTGATTTTTCTTATATTTACACTATAAAAAAGTACTCCTTGCATCATCTACCAAAGTATTGTTGAAATTGACCGTTGCATTTTATGTTTAGGTTACTTTGAATATGACAAGATTTGGGGTACCATTAACAACGCGTCGAGGACATAACATATTGTTTGTTTTTTTATTTTTGCATATGTCCTCAATAGGAATATCAGTGACTGTTGACATGCGCAGAAGAGACATATTTTATAGAATATCTGAGATGTCACTGTAATATCTATAGTAAATTCTAATGGCTTAGAATTATTTAATAATTTAAAAATCTGACACACATTCAGATAACACCTTTAATTTTGAAAGAAAAAAAGTTATTGTTTAATTCCTCCAAAAAATGCTGAATCAATTATCATGATTCTTGTTTATAAACCTTTATAATCACAACCTTTAATGTAATGTGAACGTTTGAAATTGACAAAATTGTCAAACAAATTAGACATAAGAAAAATTGTATTTAGACAGATTTTTTTTCTACAAAACCTTCTACAGTTTCACTTTGCCATTTTTTTATTGGTGGGCTTAAAGTGAAAATTATATAGTCCCAATACACTGTAGTCAAGTTTAAAAGGAAAATCAGTAATCACCAGTGTTGGATAATTACCATTGGGACGAATTGGGATAACAACATTATAATAGGTATCGTTGGTTTCATTCCCCCCAATAGCATAAAATCCCCCTGTCATCGATTTAACAGACGTTAAATTCTATCTATCAGAAAAAAGACAGTCTGTCACTATCTACGTACTATCTTTGGGCTAATGTAGGTTATGTGTTAGCAATAGCTTGTACTAGGACGGTTGTTAATATCATATCTTATAGAATATTGCCGTTTGTATTTGAAAACAAAAAAGCACATCCTATTCCTTAGCACTCAAAAATCATAACTTCATTGTTAAATCCATTTTATCAGTATGAATTTTCCTAAACCTTCCAAGATTTTATCTAAATGAAGTATGAATGTTGATTTTCTATCTTTCCAGCTTTTGATTTTTGAATCTTTCATATAAATGTAAATCTTTGATTAAACTCGTGGCGCAGTCAAACTTGTCCAGTTTTCTTAGATGCTGCTGCATCATTCTCATAACCAAATTTAAACAACATAAAAACTGAGTCATTGATTCAACAACTGTTAGGTTAAAGCGCATAAATGACTTCCAAAATATTTGAAAAATTTGTGTCCCATACCCAAGGTCTAACCCCTTAACGTGGCCAAATCTTCCCTTGCTTACTTATGAATTAAGCCAGCAGCGGTTTATCGATGTTCAAATATAATAAATCGATTGATTAGACAAATATAGTAGCAAACAAAACTGATGGACTCGCATGAACTCCAAAAGGACTCAGTTGGGAATCACATGAACTCCATATTGACTAAGTTGGGAATCACATGAACTCCAAAAGGACTAAGTTAGGAATCACATGAACTCCAAAAGGACTAAGTTGGTAATCGCATGAACTCCAAAAGAACTAAGTTAGGAATCAAATGAATTCCAAAAGGACTAAGTAAGTAATCACATGAACTCCAATATTTCGTACTGTTAGAAATAAATAATTATATTTTTGTGCCTGCTCATTACCTGACGATTTTGCAGAATTTACCTTGTGGGTTTATTACAAATCTAATACAAGGAATATGATATTTGAGAGTAATCGCAGTTGGGTGAACCCTATGTATAGAGGTATTGAGGTTGATAGTCTCATATTTGATATACTTACATAGATGTTTTCCCCGCAGTGTGTAGAAAATACATTTAATACCTATCCTATGTATAGAGTATGTGAAGTTGATAGTTTAATCTGCTAACACTAGACGGTTCCTCCACTTATATGAAGCAAAACATATATTTATAACTTACACTGTTATTAGAGGCAGATAGGTTGATAAGTACTTTATTTAAATTTATTTACAATTGATGTTTTCACTTTCGAATGGAGTAGAAAAGACATTTATAACTTACCCTGTGTAAAGGGGTTGTGAAGTTAATAATCCTCAAATTTTGATCTGATTGCAATAGCTGTTTACGTAACGTTATAGACTTTACAATAGAGATTTACTCCAATGTGATACAGTAGAAAAAATTTATTTATAACTTATCCTGAACATATGGGTGATGAGGTTGAGAAGTTCCATATTTTGTTCTGCTCGAAATGTTTGTTTCCCTAGCGTAATAGAGTTTACAATAGAAGTCTAATCCAATGACATTTTTAAGTGATACAGTATAAACATACGTTTGTAACTTATCCTGTATAAAGAGGTGGAAGGGTTGATAAGTTCCATATTTCTATCTGCTTGCAAAAGATAATTCCCTGACGTGATGGAGTTTACAATAGAGGTTAACCCCAATGTGATACAGTAGAAAATGCATTTTTAACTTACCCAGTGTATAGAGGCTGTGAGGATGATAAGATTCATATTTTGATCTGCTTGCAAAAGATGATTCCCTAACGTAATGGAGTTTACAATTGAGGTTTACCACAATTTGATAGAGTAGAAAATGCATTTATAACTTACACTGTATAAAGAGGCTGTGGGGATGATAGCTCCATATTTTGATCTGCTATCAATAAATGCTTCCCTAGCGCGATAGCGTAAAAAATAGTGGTTTACTCCAATGTGATACAGTAGAAAAGACATTTATAACTTATCCTGTATATAGAGGTGGAGCGGTTGAGTGTTCCATATTTCGATCTGCTTATAATAGATGTTTCCTAGCGTGATAGAGTGGAAATGCATTTATAACTTACCATGTGTGTAGAGGTAGAGAGGTCCAATATTTTAATATGTTTACAATAGATGTTTTCCTCACAAATATGGCGTACAAAATACTTTTATAACTAACCATGTGTAAAGAGGTTGTGGAGTTTATAAGTCCTTATTCTATATGTTTACAATATATGTTTTCCCCTCTCTACTAGAGGTAATGAGATACTTAGCCCTTTATATTAATCTGTTTACATTTATAGAGGTTTACTCTATTGTAATAAGTTTAAAATACATTTATAACTTACCCTGTGTATAGAAGAAATAGTATTGACAAGTCCCATATTTTAGTATGTTTACAGTAGCTGGGTCCAAACTCTGGATAAGTACAATAGACATTTAGATCAAAGTAGATGTGTCCATACTCTGATAGAGTACAACAAACATTTATAACTTACTTTGTGTATTGATGTAGTGATTTTGACAAGTCCCACATTTTGATCTGTTTAAACTAGATGTTTCCCCTGTCTTGATATAGTACAAAAGACAGTTACGACTTACCTTGAGTATAGAGGTAGTGAGGTTGATAATTTCTATATTTTTTTAATATGTTCACTATAGATGTTTTCCCCTGTGCTGGAGAAGATTTAACATACATTTATAACTTACCCTGGATATAGAGGTAGTGAGATTGATAAGTTCCATATTTTAATCTGTTCACTATAAGTGTTTTCCCCTGTGATGGAGAAGAATTAACATACATTTATAACTTATCCTGGGTATAGAGGTAGTGAGATTGATAAGTTCCATATTTTAATCTGTTCACTATAGATGTGTTCCCCTGTGATGGAGAAGAATTAACATACATTTATAACTTACCCTGGGTATAGAGGTAGTGCGGTTGATAATTTCTATATTTTAATCTGTTCACTATAGATGTTTTCCCTACTGTGTCATTTCCTATTAAAGTTATCACATATTCGGGTAATGCCATTATTGTTTTATGAATTAAGTGAAAATTGTGAAACAGATTGATAAAACATGTTCCATTTCATGTAAATATCCTATTCAGTACAACAATATTCGTACGTAATGATCTGTTTTTCTATATAAAAAGAATATTTCCACTGAAACTGCTCGACTCGACAAATAATCCTAAATCTATTCCACGAAAAACGCCCGCAATACTGCCAAAAAACAGTACAGAACACTATAGTATGACGGTGTGTTGTTTTAAATCCACATGTAATTTTGAACTGGCAAAGAATCTTTTAAAACAATATGATTACTTTATATTTTCAATTAGAAAATAAACAATTAATAGACATATAGAAATTTCCATTGATGACATATTTAACCTTCAGCTGATTATTTGCACGTAATAATCATATGACACCGGGTACACTAGATACATGTACATATACTCTGCATGCAATCTCTGTATAATGTAGATTAAAGATAAAAATATTAATGTAATTTGGATAGAATGATATTAAGTTTGTAAATTCATTTAAACAAAACCCATCATGAGACGTTATTTGAAGTAGGAATAAACACTTATATGAAATAATGTCAGAATGATTAATAATTTTGCCTCTTGAATTGTGTTTAAAAGCAGAAGTCACAAATTGTGTGCTGTACAATGTTGTAATTAGTGTTGTCCATCTCATAAAAATGACATGAAATCGAATACAGTTCGGGAGTTTCAAGATAGTCCGTATCCAATGTTATTGCACATACACAAATCACGTGAATAAGTCATAAAGTAAGGCCTATTTCGACCAACAAAACGTCGTTTGCATGAAATGTCATCTTACGGGTAATGTCACCTGACCGTACGTTTTCTGCAGGATGAGTTGATCGAAAAAGAAAAGTGTGCTCGAATTTTATAAGTGCGAACCAGTCTTAACCATCTGATTTGCTTAATCGCATTTGAGAACATAGAATAAAGTCACGTGATAAAAAATTTCAACCTCCACTATCTCAGAATTGCCATGTCTAACATAGTGGCGAGTGAAATACATTCGTGTTGCTTTATAAATATGTAATTTTTAGAACGGAAATTTAAATTAGCAATTGTTTATTGTAACAGTTTTAGAAAAAATCTAAAATCAACAGCATTGAAATTTAGAAATCAGCAAACTAAATGGTCCTAATAGCATCGTTAACTATCATAGAATTGAATTTGTGTGAAGCAAGTCGGAGTAACTGCTATTACTGACAGTATTTTTTGCAAGTCAATGGGAAACTCCTCAAAGAACCACCCATGTACTATGTTCTTTTCTTCGACATTGATTTCTTTAGTATGCTCCGCTTTATAGTGGTTACTATTTTAGATAATGTTCATGATACATATGACCAAGATAATTTTCATATGTAATAAAATCACTACTGTAACAATTATAACTAAAAATTACAATATGACTCAAAGTATTACCGTAATTAATTGTATATTTAGCCTTTGGATTTTTGAAATTGTGACTATTTATAGTTGGTTATCTATCAGTAAATAATGGGTTTTCCATACATCATTTACCTAAAAAAGCAATGCTTTTTCGGTTTACTTTATCTGAAAGAAATGAACATTTTTCATATTTATTAAAGAATAAACCATAGAGCTGATACATGAAGCTCTGAGGTGGAAGAAGATGCATGAAAGAATAACTTGAGTTAAAATGAAAGCAGACCACACCAACACAGCTTGCTATGTGCCATTGTTGCCTTCGACGTATTTTTTTCTTCCAAAAATTATATACTTTCTCATGTCTCCACCACAACAGATTAACCTAAACATAAAAATCTCCTAGTAACTAGTATTGTTGATTCAAATTAAAATTTCTATTATTCCATACATTGCATCTCAGCATTTTCAACTTGAGGGACGCAAATATACCAGAAATTGATTAAGATTCACTTGAAAAGTTTTTCTGTCGAAGGTTATTCACTTTAAGTATTCCGGCTTCCTTTGTCAATAACAACTGGCCACCATGATTTTAGTAAAGTGTGCTGAAAGTGGAATTTAACACCAACATCAATCAATCAATCATGAATATACATGTAGTTGTTCACAGTTAATTACTTGTTTTTTTGTTTTATCATAAACATATCTAGAAAAGTGATTAATAAATTCAATATTGAATATTTCAATATTCAATGAAAGTTGGCAGGTATTGACACTTGAGTCTCCTTGGAAACTTAAATTTGAACGCAACACTAACCCAACAATCAATTATGAACTGTTATAGTTGTTATCATATATATTTGAAAGCGGTTCAAATTTCATTAACTGATTTTTTTATATTTGTTCTTATGTTTTGTTGTTACACAATTGTCCCTGGTCTGGGGTTGGGTTTTAAGCACTTGTTAACATTTTAAACCCAGTAATTTTCTAAATCTGCTTGTCCCAAGTCAGGAACTTGCTGTAATAATGTTATTGAAAAATTCATTTACTTGTGTCCAACAATAGGAATGACATTGTAACAACATATGTCAGACATTTCAAATTTTTATTGTCTAATGATCTGGACAGAGTATGTCCCAGATCGTACTGAATCGTGAGAGCCAACAAGACGGACTTTGGATCTGATTATGTTAAGAGGGGACATATTTCAGGGCCTGGGCCTAGACTCTTTAATCTCTAACGGGAATTGCTGTTTCCCTAGGACTGATGAAATTCCGCTTCTACAAAAATAAAATTCATATGCTCTATACTAGAAAGTATAAAAAGTAAAGTCTGCATCCCATTATCGCAACGAGAATTCAGGAAAAAAAACTTTTTGTAACTGGTTAATGAAACTCCGGTAATTTCGAATCGTATGTGATCGTATGCGGTATTTTGATGGAACACTCCATTTTCCATCATCAAGTAAAACTTGAAAATGCTTATAAATGATTCTAGAACACATCACGAATGTTTAAATAAGTCGAAATCACAAAACAAACCAAAACAAAATTTGACATTAAACGAAAGAACTAACAGCACTTGTAAAACGAAGATAAAGACGGTGCGATTGTGCGGAAATCCGTACTTAAGGTGGATCATCGGTATATATTTTCTCAGATAGAATCTTTTTAAACTTTGCCAAAATGAAGATTTTTCAATGTTTTTTTCAGAAATATATTATAAAGTATGGGTCACCGTGCTATTTTTCATGCTACAAGTCGTGCAAAATTGCCCTAATTTGTATAGATTGTTCATAAAAAAACATATTTTTGTGCATAAAAAGAAATCTATGAGACAGAATTTTGAAATAAAATATGAGAGGATAGGTTTTATAATATGCTTTAAGAAAATAAAAAGAAAAAATGGTGTCACCGAACTTGTTTTCTTGCTACAAGTCAAAAATGAAAATTTCACTATCATTTCAGTATAATTTATTTACTATAAGAGTTATCTCCCCATAAATGGCCAAGTTAAAAAACTTGATTCTAAAAACATATATTTTTGGTTTTGTTTAAACATTTAGGATAATGCAATGAATTACCTATTTTTCTTTATTCAAATAAGCAGTTTTTAACGTCCACTTGTAATTGTAGTATTTGTATTTTTATCCATCTGATGAGTTAAGCCTCTTTCAACTGATTTTTATAGTTCGTTCTTATGTTGTACTATTACACCACTGTCCCTAGTTAGGGGGAGGGTTGGGATCCCGCTAACATGTTTAACCCCGCCACATTCTATATTTATGTGCCTGTTCCAAGTCAGGAGCCTGTAATTCAGTGGTTGTCGTTTGTTTATGTGTTACATATTTGTTTTTCGTTCATTTTTTTTACATAAATTATTCCGTTAGTTTTCTCGTTTGAATTGTTTTACATTGTCATTTCGGGGCCTTTTATAGCCGACTGTGCGGTATGGGCTTTGCTCATTGTTGACGGCCGTACGGTGACCTATAGTTGTTAATTTCTGTATCTACCCCACAAGCGCCTGTGGACATTTTGACAAGTTTTTTCTTATAAATAATTGTAAGGCTTTAAAGTTATTCTGAATGTCTTCGTATGCGTTATAAATGGATCAAGTATGGCTTTTGTCTAGTTAACTCCCTTAAAACAGACTTTATTTACTCTTATGACCAGTTTATTACAAACAAAAATACTAAAAAAGTTTTGCCATCGTTAAGGGTTGACAGGTATGATGAATACTTCTTTCCAACATAAATCATTTTTTTTATTGGTACAAAACACTATAGGTTTTCTTTTTTATTATAAACTGATAGATTTGTTTGTCTAAAACTTGAATACCCAATTAGGCAAACATAAGACCCGACAACAATAATTTTATAAATCATTTTAAATCATCAAAATTCTGCATTCATATTTGTTTAAACATTGCAAAAGTCGTCGGTGCACTCGAATAATTCTATGTGTGATGTACATTTCATTATGCAGTCAACAATAACAAACAACCATATTGTATCGTAACTATGATATGTAAAACTTTCGGAAACTTTAAAAGTCTTTCATTTATATTGTGAAAACCTTTTTAAAATCGGTATATTTTAAGCATTTTTATCTATTAACGTGATTGCATCCATATACACTTTAAACAAAATAACATCTTTTTTAAAGTTTAAAGTACGTTTGTAAATACACAATAACCGCTCCTATTACCTTTGTCAGTTCGTCAATATCCAATTCGTAACAAAGATAACTAACAGGATATGACAAAACTCACCAAAGACACCATCCAGGATTTTTATTTGGTCTGTTTTAGGGAGCTACCATTTGATTTATATGGGGGGGGGGGGGGGGGGGGGCTAGGATGAAATTTGAAATAAATAGGCAGGACAGGAGTTTTGAGAAAAAAAAGGCAGGATGAGATTATTTGCAAAAAAAAAAAGGCAGGATGACAATTTATGTAAAAAAAAGTCAGGATAAATTAAAAAAAAAAAGCCAGGACCGAATAGAGTGAAAAATAAAAAGGCAAGACCGAATAGAGGGGAAAATAAAAAGGCAGGACACAATTTTTCATCCTAGCCCCCCATAAAAATCAAATGGTAGCTCCCTTATGTCAAACTTTAAATTTGTAATTTTCAGTAGTGAAAAAGCATGCTGTATTTAATTTTCGATAGTAAAAGGCCAACATTGAAAGCACATCAACATTTTATAGCACTATAGATTCAAAACAA